TGAAGGGATGATGGGGTAGGGGTCGAGGGATGGGGGAAAGGGTCGAGGGTTGAGGGATGAGGGGGTATAGGAAGGACGGGTGAGGGTTGATAGAAAGGGAGAAAAGCTGGTAGGATAGGTGGATGGAGGGAGGAGTTCGGCGAGATGGTCAGGAGGAACAGAGTGGGTGTTGAGACGCTGAGTGGGGGAACCGTCTCTTATCTCTTCGTGAGCCCCCAAAGAAACTTCAGCAAGACAGGTGCGCGTGAGCGTTTTTGATGTCGTTTATGTCATTGCGAATGTATGTGAGATAAGCAGGAGAAGACCATCGGCCGAGGAGTTTGATGATGTTGTCTGGGATTCCCTGCTTGGAAGCGGAGGAGGCAGCTCCAATGCGGAAAGAATGCCCAGAGAACGATTCTGGGGATATTCCTGATTTGGACAGGATTTGACGAAAGTGCCGGTGGAACCAGTTCCGTGTGGCTATTTTACCGGTCTCAGTGATGAACAGAGGGTCCTGTGGGGAAGCTCTGCTGGCTAACCTGGAGTTGGTGTATTCTAGTATCGGTTCAAAAGGACTCAAATATGAGTCTAGGCGGAAGAGGTGGATTGGTTGAGGTAGACCGGACTGGTTGGTCTTGCTGCGTTTAAGGGGGTAAATGAGGGTGTCGTTGGAATGAAAGGAAATGTCAGACATGGAAGCGTGGTGAAAAAGGATCATATTTAAGGGTAGAAGCTGTAAATTTGGAGCAGCGCAGAAAACCGCTGCGGTCCCCATTTAATAAGAAGCTGTTGTTATTGTTGGGGAAGTTCGTGGCTGAGGTTTCCTTTGTTTAAAGTCACCAAGGACAAATAACTTAAAAGAGTCCGGGTTTAGCTCCACTCCGACACGACAGGGGTGTGACTGTGTCGGCGGAGCATGCGCTGTTGTGTCCTGCAACGGTTGGCCTGCGGGTGGAATGTAACACAACCAGAATTGGAAGATTAAACGAACTCGACTCGTCCCCCCGGTAAAAAGAACTTGGACTGACTGTAACGCAGGCTTGCTCATTCTGGTTCTCTGCGAAAGAGTCTTGCGAGAGCTCTCGTACAATTCGCCCAGAAAAACTCTCGCGAGCTGTAGGATGCCTGGATGAGTAGTGCGGAAAAACATTCAGCCACATGTACTCCGCCCCATTTCTCCACTCAGCTCACTTGGTTCTCGTCTCCACGCATGGAGTGTGAGTACAGGTTTCTCTGCTCTTCTCACCCATGTCAGATGCATCCATTTGGACATGGCCTCCCCCCCCTACCTCAAAGAAAACTTATCAAGCCCACAAAACGAAGCACACGCTCCTGTCCGTCACTCGCTCAGAACCTCCTCCCAACATACCCAGAACCAGGACTCAGGACATTGGGAGATAGGGCCTTTTTGTGCTGCCGCGCGGGGACGTCTGTGGGGAGATGCCGCTCCCTGACGCCTGAGGCACAGCAATCAAGCTGACTGTTTTTTTAAAAACAAGGTCTTAAGACATTTCTTTTTTAGCAAGCTTTTGGGTTCCCTTTTAGAATGTTTGTTTTTTTGTTAATTTCTCTTTTCTCCTTTGTGTCTTGATTTTCTTATTGTTATTTAATTATTTTTTATTATTTTTTTTGTATAAAACTGCTTTTTGTTTTCTAGACCTGTACACTTTGGATCGCTCTTGAGTTGAAAAAGGCATTATATTAATCAATGTAGTATACTATATAGCTATATATATTATAGTAGGTTTACAAGTTGATGAATGAATTTCCAGATTAGGAGGAGGGCGGAGTGGCTGTTGGATCACTGTCACGATCGTTACCCACCAGCTTACGTGTTGGTGTAAAACAGAGTACCTCCCATCCTTTTTTGCCGGGGAGTTCTGTGTTCACGATCCGCTCTGAAGGATTGTGAAAGCCTGCCAGCTGCAGCGCAGAGGTCGTACCGAATCCACACAAGCCACGTCTTCTGTGAAGCATAAAACAGGAGAGGAATGAAGGTCTCTTGTTTTTTTTTTCCCAGAAGTAGCTGAAGGTTCCTCTTTTATTGCAAAGTGAATGCACGTTGGGAGAATAATTCCAGTTTAACGGTGTGCGATGGGTCCGCGCTGGCTGAGATCGCGTTGGAGCAGCCACTGGCAACGTTCTTCCCTCTCCTCCCTGCTTTTCACTGCCGCGAGCAAAAGCGGTGAGCGCAACTTTGACACA